TGCTGTTCTTTCTCTTGCAGGAAGCAGGGCGGAGGGTCATCAGCCTGATGAGCCACACCTGGGCCTGGTGTATGTGTCTCTGTCAAAAGCTCCCTCCTGCCTGTCTTCAGTCTCTCTCTCGTCTGATCTGAGTGTGGGCACGGCTGCTGCTGCTGTTGTTTTCTTTTCTTCTTCTTTATTTGCTCCATACATTACATTGCCTTTTGATAAACTGCAGTTTTTGACACTTCCACATTGGCTTCATTTTTTTTAGCCTCGGAGGTTACAGCTTGCTTAAACACGATGACTGTTAAGTTTTGCGGCTCCGGCAGCACGAGCTTTCAAACTGACACGACATTTTGCAAAAAGCCTCAAAACTCAAACCCTGAAGTTGCAGATGAATAGCGAACACGATGTAATCCAAAGCGTCCATAAGTTCAGAGGGCCAGTGCACTTGTTGCAGCTTGTGTGTTACAGCCTCCATCCTGTGGTGTTCAGAAGATGAGGCAGTGAAGGACTACACGCAGTGTTGGAAATAAATTGTAAACAGAAGTTTGACTGTGTTCCTGTTGCTATGGTTACTCATTTTAGATACAGGCTGATGCTAGACAGAGATTTAATTTAGAACAGTGAACAGACAGTTACAGCTGAGCTTAGGTGGTGTCCATCACCAGAAATTAATGGACACCCTGCAGCCAATCAGGATCAGGTATTCATACAGGCCATGCTATAAAATCTGCATCGACTGTTCAATACATGTTGAAACTGTACATTCCAGAGCATATAGTACATTTTAGCAAAACATAGGTCCCTGCAATTATTCATAGTTCATAGTGGCAGTAAGTCATATGGCAGAGTTTACTTCTAAGGTGATCCAATCATAATGCAAAATAGTATTTTTCCCACACTGGTGTATGAGGTCACTACAGTAGGTCCTTTCTATTATAACTACATGAGTTTTAGCAAATGATATTCACAGAACAATTGTACACAAAAACACCTTTAAGAGTTCCCCATGGATAAGTGTTTGAGGCTGGACCTCTGTGAATCCTGTCTTTGCAGGCAACTGTTTTGCTTACCACAGAGTGATTTCAGCAAGGCTTGACGCAGTGTTCAGAGGGTGAAAGATGAACGTAGGCGGCAAACATGATTCACTGAATAACAAGTCTGAGAGAAATGAGAAAGAGTGCAGAGGCCTGAGCTGAATCACTTTACTGTGGTACAGGATGTTTCTGACTGTGTGGGTGAACCGCTTCTGCTTTCATCTCTGGATTCATCACATTTCCTATACTTACATTTTTAGATATGTTTTCAGAGTTTCAGAGCAAGTAAATAATCACAAAACCACCACAAGATTGTTTTTGTTTATCCAGAATTACACAGATTTCAAAATTTCACAACAAATCAAAAGAATTTGCAAGATGGTGCAGTGGTTAGCACTGTCGCCTCACAGCAAGATGGTTCCTGGTTCAATCCCAGGAGGGAGCCCTTCTGTGCGCATGTTGTCCCCGTGTCAGTGTGGGTTTTCTCCAGGTACTCCAGCTAATTTGTGACTCTAAATTGGCCGTAGGTGTGAATGTGAGTGTGAATGGTTGTCTGTCTCTACATGTCAGCCCTGTGATAGTCTGGCGACCTGTCCAGGGTGTACCCTGCCTCTCGCCCAATGTCAGCTGGGATAGGGTTTTTGTTTTTTTTTTGGATTCTTTATTCACCGTAGGGGCATGCAAGAAAAACAAAGTTTTCTTCACAAATTCAACATAACTTGCTGTCAGTGTTTGAAATACAAATGTTCATTTTGCAGGTGACTAAAACAGGAATGTTTTAGAATGTTACTTGACCATAATACAGTACATATTCAAAATGTGTGATAATTACATTTGCTTTTCATTATTTTATTCCAACTTGAGCTCATATAGTATGATTGTTAAGTGACAAACACAAGTGTTCAATTAACAGTAAGAACATTTTGATTGTTAAAGCATGAGCGGATCAGAGAACAGGGAGGCTTCTCATCACATCATGATATTATGCACTTATAAAAACAAGGACATGTAGAATTTAAAGGCTTGCTCTTTCTGCCATTTGGGCAAATGAAGGCCCCACCAGTGTTATGATTATTATGGTAAGCCTTTATCTCAGCAGTTTAACAGGGAAATGTTGGAAACGAACTTTTTGGTCCATCTGCCACTGTGGCTGTTTGATTCCAAAATACCAGCCACTTAATAGATTACCATTGTTCTTTTGGCTTGTGAGAGACGAAAATCTAGCAACCACTTGCATATTTTACAAGCATCTGGTAGCAATCTTAGTATGATGAAAGTGATGAGTTAAACATGTTGCAAGCTAAATCTGATAAGATGCATTAAATTACAACATTTATATTTAATATGGAACATGGTCCCTTAAACTAAATAAAGTTTAAATGAGTTAATGAATGATGAAGTCAATCTAAAACGACTTGGCGCTCCCAGAGTGCTGAGCTTGTGATGCAGTTTCCTTTCATTTTCCTTTTTGCACCAAATACACTGAAATGATTTATAATTCGTGTCATCAAAGAAGACTTTCTCTGTTCCATCAAGTGGCATCCATCTCTCTTTTATTAGTGGACTGTATGAGCCTGCCTCAAAGTAATCTTATGATTACATAAGTAGAAATTTATATCATAACAAATCCATCACAATCTGTCCAGTTGGTCTGTAACAGTATGAAGAGGACAGAGATTTTAAAGACACTCACTGTGCTCTATGGACTTACATTTGTTAAGCTTCTCAGTCATTTACGCCATATTCTTTTTATATATATTTTAATTAAGAAATGTAACCCTTTTTACAACACAAAAACAAAACAGACATTACAAAAAAGCAGAAAATAAAACAAAATGCCAGCTCACAGAAAAGTGCACATGTGCATGTCAATCTGTACAATTGCTGAAATTTCCACAGGTGGATTGAGGGTCAGAAATACAATTGGTGGAGTCAGTGAGGTGGAGGAAAGCCCAAGACAAAGGCCAGAAAACTGAAACCCTGTCTGTTCAAAGTACAAAGCTATACAGTACAGTACCATACAGTCCGATACTAATAGTTCCCAGGCTGACACCGTTTTTTTTCACACAATATTATCATAGACTGTATAAAATGATGGACATCGCTACGGGGACATCACCCATTGTTGTGGACTCCCATTTAGAAGCCTCAAGTTCAGCATTTTGGCTGTCGCCATCTTGGATTTTTCGAGCCAGAAGTGACCATATTTGGACGATAGGGTGGAGATAATACTAACACTAGCTGCTAGCTTGGTTAGGTCAGTTCATTTACTGTACAGCTATTATTAACTGTGATAATGCTTATTCTAATGCTAATATCCACCAGTGATGAACAGGCTATAAAAACACTGAAACAAAACTGAAACCAACTGGTAAAATTGAATATCCAACTCCCAAGAGTCAACAGACGGCACCCAGCTGTTGCTAAATGAGGCCACACCTTATGCGTCGTCCTGGTTCCCTCGACAAAAAGCCAATATGGATTTTTCATTTTGGATTATTGCAAAAAATAAGCTTTGTGGCAAACAAAAGTTAATGATGCTTACATGTTTTGTTCAGGAAAATAATCTTCAAAATGAATACCGCTTTTATGATATTTGAAGTGCAAATGCAATCAATAGAAGTAAAAAGTAAAAAAGTAAAAACCTATACACTACGATCGCATGAATTAACATTGCCACCACAACGATGCTGTAAAGCCATGTTCGGTATGATGACGTTCTGTAGTCTCTTCAAGCCACTTATTAGCAGCTGCCTTTTTTAAGACACCTAAAGGCTTTAAAATTCTTGAGTGGGGTATTTACTGACATACCATAAAACTTTAATTAAAAGCCTAGTCCCAGTTAAACGCCCAGTCTCTTTTACATACAATAAACGCCTGTCTTAATTAGATGCCTGGTCTGGTTGCCAAGCAGTTAATTTTTATAGAAGTTCTTTGGATGTAGAAAACCGTGTTGTTGGCTACCTCAAATTGTGTCCATTCCTCGATTACCCTGTACCTGTAAGTTATTTGTACTCCAGTAGTCCATAAGGGTCCCCAGATCAAAAGAATAAAAAATGTTTTTCATAAAAATGAATCCAAGTTGTGAGTATTGTTTTAACAGGATAAGGTGGGGTTGTGTTGTAATCCTCAAGTGCCGTAACTCACTCTCTCTCTGATGGGCTGTCTGTCGGAGCTAGACCAAATGAATGATTATTAATTGATATATTATCTGAACCCTAATTTTTATATAATACACAGTTCGATTGTATTTCCTGAGCCTTGCTGAGCAACAGCTTTGTGTCAAAAGAGTTAAAGGCCTTATAGGCCTGTTGATTTCAGTGATGGAAGCAAATAATAGCCTGGGCTACTACTTGAAGTTTTAAGGTATTTTATGTTGTAGAACAAATTGGGAAAGTCTCTTACACTTGTGTAAACCACAGATCTTATTTCAGGCATCTAACCAAAAACGTATTTAGAGACAAGGGAACCAGGGGTGCAAAAATGCTAACTCATTGCCAAATTTGAGGACTCATTCCTGGAGCACTCAAGTGGCCGTTCAAGGAACTGGAGTTTTTGGCACCTCAGAGTTGGCTTCATTTTTCAGCCCTGAAGGTTGCTGCTTGGTATCGATACACCAGCACCTGCTGCACTCTCTTGCTCTCTCGCTATTCATCATTAATCATGTTGAAGTCTTTGTATACTTATCTTTTAATTGATGAAATAATTTTATGCCCTCAATGTCAAAGTTTCCCCTAATTTAAAACATTATATGGAATATCTGTTTTCCAAGGTGTTGTATTGAAGTTAGAAATTCCGGCAACATTAGCACTAAGTCGGAGCAACCTACTATCACAGAGAGACAGTCATGTATCAGCTGTCTGCTGTGTATGTCGCTGCACAAATGAAACACCATATTGTTTTTAATGGTAAAACCTTCATTACATACTGTACATGTATGTGCGTTAATGTGTTTTTGTGTTGCTGCTGTCCTTACAGAAGCCCGGCTTGTGTCAGCGTGTGTGTCGGTATGCCCTTCCTCTGTGGCTCCTCCTCCTGGCTCTGCTGCTCCTGGCCTTCCTGCTGCCCCTCATGGATGAAGGCAACAGCTGCTCCCTCTCCAACAACTTCGCCCGGTCCTTCAACATCATGCTGCGATACGACGGACCCCCACCCACATAGGAAAACACCTTTGGATAGAGTAATGTTACATCTCACTCTCTACTGCAGCTTATGATGCTATAATGGGCCTTGGCTTATGTAGGAATGTTGACCTCTGACCTCCGATCATCATGACTGTAACAAACCAAAAGCAGGACCACAACCTTCAGTTTAATCTAAAGGCTTTGCAACAAATCTAATACTCATTTTAAAAATGACTCATCTAACTAATAGCTTTGCTAACACCAGTGAATCAGTGACACAATTTTCCTCCTTTAATATCACCTCTACTATGGACCACAATCTGTGAAGGAAACACAACTGAGAGTAGCACGCACATCTGTAAACAACAAATCCCACAATTCTCTGATGCTTCTACACATTCAGAACCTCACAGCCCATGATTCTTTGCTGTTAAAAATCATGATCTTTTAACTATCAAACAACTATCATGAAGAATAAAGTCCTGTAGGACTACAAGTCCAGCGCTCATTATAAATATTTCACAGTATTATAAGCGCTCTGTACAAGCTTATACATCCTATAACCAAAGTCATTTTTCTGCAATCTATCAGCATCATGAGTTTCTAACATCTTAAATATGGTAGTCAGCTTTTATCTAACGGAGATGAAATTATGTTCATCTGAACTTTAAATAACTTTGCTCATTTATAATCACCAATATAACCTGTTAGAGATGCTTGGTAGAAGTCACTTTACAGCAGCCAGTTGTTGCAATCATGGAAAAAAAAAAATTGCTCAGTGTGTTATATCAAGAAATAGTTCCTGTTTAATAAGAAACTATTAGTATAGCACACCATCATATGATTGAAACTTTAACATTATGACACAAAACCAACAAATCATATTAAAATGTCAGATGCTTCTGTGATACGCCAGCTAATCTCATTGGTCAAGAAACAAAAAAAACATAATTTTCCACACATTAAACTTGACAAGACACAAAAAGAGACTCTTTCAGAAGGTGTCATTTGACTGGTAGTCATATAAAGTGATGTCATGCTTTAAGTGGGCTGAGAGATGCTTATCCAAAGTCAGTTGGTCCATACAAATGTGTGTCATGTGCCAGATGATCTAAACCAAAGACTACAACAGATATGACAGCGGATATGACACTGTTGAGCTCTCTCATAAGCAACAGCTGCTAGTTTTAGTGCCACCCTCCAGTGGTCAGGCTTAGAAAACCAACATAGACTCCCTGAGATAAAGCAATGCTTCAGCCAATGTTGTGCTAATGATATGTAGCAATGCTAAATAACTAGATTGCAAAGAGCTACAAGGTGCAGCTTTATATGTTTTTTAAATCATGTTTAATCTTTTAATTATTTAATGTCAAAAAATATTGTGTGTTCTTAGTTTTACAAAATCAGCCAGGACTGTCACTGTGTGTTCATACTGAGAGCAACTTGGCTAATGCTAATCCCTCTGCAGTGACCTAAACAGAGACATCATACATTTTCACCATCATCATATTGACTTTTCGGGTACCCGCGTGTACCAGACTCAATGCAGGACTCTGCTTTGCCCATTGTCATATATCCCTGTGTGACTGTGGCACTTAACACACAGCAGTCATGGGCTCATGGGCAATGGTGTTCTTTAAATGCTGCCAAACACAGAAATATTAAATCAATAATAGTACACCCCTGTCTACACAAATGCAGTGACCTGTACGACATACTGTCAAGCAGGGTGGTGTTCCAAAAGCTAGATTTTTAGGAATAACAAAATGTCAGTGTGATTTTGAATATAGTTTTCTTACTTTGGGAACAGGACCCAGACATTCTGGTGTAACTTCAACACTCGGTTGTGGATTCAGACTTTAGGACAACAGCATACATTACAAATAAATGTACAAGACAAACGGCACAGTCAGAGGGAGGCAGATAGACATTTCTAAATGAATTCAACTCGAAAATACCCCAAACTTTGTTGAAGAGTTGTTGATCGTGTTGCTCACAGTGTGGACACACACACACACGGTCGACTGATCCAGTAACAATTTAGTCGAAGTGGTACACATGAAGAACGAATGATTGATTGATGACAGTTGATTAACGGTTATCCAATGAAGGGCTGTCTGTCTGTGATAGGGTTAGAGTTAGGGCACTCTACTCATGTAGCTCTCCTCCCTACACTCCCTTCTCCTTTCATAGAGTGTGACACATTTCCTAATGGAAACCACATTTAATGCTCTGGTTTATGTTTGAGAAGGACAGTCATAATATATGTGTAGTATTTGCAGAATGTACTTTGAAGAACCAAAAATGCTCCCTTTTAGGTTGTTTCTGTCTGTAGAATATTCAACAGTACATATCAAAGATCTTTTGTGTTCTTGAATGTAAGCTTTTTATTTTTAATCTTTATTTTGATCCTGTTAGCACTGATTACATAACAGATAATCTGCTACTACTGATGCAGGAATGATCGTTATACTGTAGGTCTGTTCATGTTTTTTTTTTTTTAACTGTACAGGCATCTCATGAGAGCTGTTTAAACCTAATTTCTCTTCTGAAGGTGCTACTTTGGCTTGAATACAGTGATCAGTCTTTTTCACAGCCTAAACCACCAGTGACAACAGTTAGAGAGCCGTCTGCTATGGCCCCCGACAATCTCTTGGACCACAGTGTACTCTTGGTTCCAGTGCCCAAGTTGTAAACCTGGCAATCCCCCTTTTTTGTGTGTGCAAACCCAAAATAATCTGCAATCACTTTTTTATCCTGCATTATCTCTCTTCTCACACCACACACACTCCTAAAAATACACCCACACACCTCCACACACCCTCATACACAGCTTCTTTCCCTATTTTGGCTGAGTTTGTGTGTGTTATTGACTTATGTTGCTATGGCAACAGTGACCAAATCAAGTTATCTTCTTGTACAGCAAGTGTCTTTCTTTGCCACAACTTTACAGGTACTCCAGCATGTTTCTAATGTGATGTTAAATTCAGTTTTATTTGGAAATGAAAGAGCACAGGTGAGGACACTAAATCGTGACTGTCCCAGGTTAGACATAAAAGTATAACTCCCAAAATGGAAACCTTCTGACAGCCTCCACACTGTGTATTTTAATGGCCATCAGTAAAATGTTTTGGATTTTCCAATGGCACAGGAAAGAAAGAAGGTGCTGTTCTTTCCGCACAAAAAAAGAACTTGTGTGTTTTATGCTGTGTTCACATTATTATCGAAAAATAGCTTTTCTTTTATGAGTGATATATCATCCTTTAGATTAAGATGTAATGTAACAAAAATGCTGTTTAAGTCTGTGCTAGAGCTGTTCAGAAATTACATTTTGATCACATGAGAACTAACATGTTACTCATTCAAACTCGTTCAGGTGCAGCACACAAAGCCTAGCTGCAAACTGCACTGTTGAATTATCACTGTGTTCATTAACTGTCTCTGCTGCCTCACTGACGGGCTAGCAGGTGACTTCAGATCCGATCACAAGTGGACAGTCGGGACACGTTTCTGTCACCACCATGGATGTATAAAGAGAATTGGATATAGTGTTGGAGGCTGGGGCCTCATTCACCGTTTACTCTTTCAAACTCTTGCTGCATGCTCACTTGCTCACACACAAGTGATGTCAGCAGAATACAACACGTCTCTTTCTGTAGGGCAAAATGATGGACGGTCACGCAACACTTTGTCCAACTCAATGTGAAATGGCGTTAGTGCGCTGTCACAAAAATCAGTCAGTATGTTTACATGACATCGATTTATTGTGTTAGTCCGACTGAAAGCATTTTAAATGGAATTTCTCAAAATCAGACTAACACACAGATAATGCGATTGGGAGTCAAATTACTCCTGCATGTATACAGTCATTTGGACCCAAACTGGCCGAGGTGATCTGCATATGCTCAACAGTTTCTCCCCCATGCTTTGGCCCGCAAGTCAAATAGCATTAATTACGTAACAGAAGAACAAACCAGTGACAACATGGCGAAAGCTCCAACCAGATCCATGCATTTTTGGACAGATGAAATGTACAGAGCTGTAAAGTTGTCCACCGTGGTACAAGTTTGCTGCTAGCCAACAGCAGCTAACTTGCTTGTTGATTGTTTGGTCTGTGATGTAGTAGGTCCACCAGAAAAAGGTCCAAATGGGGCATATTGCCACTTATTGTAGTGAGGTTGAACGTACTTCAGTCAATAAATTGATTCCCCTCTGTGCTTGTATACTGGGACAAGGACAGCAGTCCTAAATGGCCTTGTCAAGCTATAACCGTAGCTCGAATTAACTGTGCATGTAAACATATCGACTGTTTACACTACAAAAGATATGTGGTCCAATGCATTTCCAGACCACGTCAGTGGTGGAGTGTTTGGATCCCAACGCGCCTTGGTGGTCATTTAAACTTGTATTAAGGGCTGTCTAATTGTGACTGGATCACCCAAGATGTATGTTAACACCAGGTGTGAACAGACTCCATTTTATCATCTGTGATGTCATACCCAACCTGGCATTTTGAACAGATTGTCAGTTATAAAAATTGCAAGTAGCTGAAAACAAATGCATATCGTCTTCATATTGCTTCTTGCTAGTGAGTTAACTGTCACAGACTCCCCGCTCCTACCACAAGTCCTTTGCTGAGCAAAGTGTCCTGTGCAGCACAAGAGCATAGTTTTTCTACTATAATGTGGACACAGCTTTATACAGTCAAAGCCCAATCTGTGTAGACACTGACATCATCTGGCAATTGAACTGCTATCTGCTGCTCTTTGTGCCAAGTTATGGCACTTTATTCATACCACCGCCATGGATAACACTTTGTGATTGGCTGAGAGGTGCTTTTTTAATCATAGTTTTGGCTCGCACTGTTTACACTGGTTTTGGAGGTGTATCCTAAACTATGGACAAGGTAGAGGTGAAGAAAACATAATGGTGACATCTGATAGTTTGGGTTGCAGGATTCTAATCAAATCATTTTCACAACACAAAACTTTCAAATTTATGTTTAAACATGGAGTTAATATCACATACACTTTACCAACCTCACTGGTGTTTATGACAAAACATGATTTATTTGGCCGATGACTATAATGTGTAAATATGCTCCATGCAGCATCACATATTATTGAAGACATGTAGCTGCCACAGCCTTAAAGCTTTATGTATGATATCCAGTTAATCAGCTGTGCTCAGTGCCATAACCAGTTGTATTTATTCAATATGTAGCTTTATGAAGCCCTCAGCCAGTGTACTGTATAACTCTTATATAACTAAGTTCAATATAAAGTTCAGTCCTGTCATGTGTTAATGCTGCATTGTATACTGAATCAATAACTAGGCTCCATGGTACTGCTGCTTATTGCACTGCCCGTCTCTGTCTTCTATTATGCATGTATCGCTTAGACGCCTATGCAATGCCTGGCTCAAATAGTGTCCATTGATACCTTATGCAACATATGAAATGACTTGAATCTCCTGAGCACAACTGGTCCTTTACATACAGTATGAGTGATAAACATACAGAAGAAGAATAGTTTAAGTACACTTGTTATGCAAAAATGCCAGTGTCTGCTCTGCTCTTGAGCGAGTCATTCTGAAAATATACAAGTAATGATTGACAGCTAAAAGCTTCTTTTGTAAAATTCTATTTTATTAATGTTTTGAAACAGAAGGTGTCATATTATTCAAAAGAGTATTTAACCAATGTTTTTTTTTTTTATTATTATTCTGATGAAATAAAAATGCAATTTCAATATTGTATGCTAGAATCGTTTCTTGGGTGTTTTGTTCTGAGATTTTAAGAATATGATTTTTTGTCTTAATCGTTACCAGTGCAGCTCCTGTTTTCCACCTCCTTCACACAAGATGAGAGGATAAGACACTTTTGGAATCATATCTTAGTTTCCATCTACTTCCTGTTTCTGTGTCAAGCTAGGCCAAACATTTAACCATATAAACATCTGCACTGAACACAGCAATGAAATAAATACTGATGAGTGAATTCTAAAAGAATGGATTGCAGCCAGTGATAGCACTATGAATTGCACATCACTTGCAATCACTGTCTGCCCTGCCTCATGGTCAGATTCACAACAAAATATTACAATAACACTATTTCAGTGCATACATGCCCACAAAATTTTGCAGCTGACAGCGATTTGTAAATGTTGCCTGTGCACCAAGAACCCAGTAGGCAGAACAAAGGTAGACCCGCTAAAAATAAAGACATGGCTCTGCAGTGTGTGGGTCTGTGGGTTTGGTGTGTCACATTCAACGTCATAGACAGGCTGGAAAACAGTTTAGTAAACAGTAGAAAGCATAATGGAGGCCTGAAACTTTGCTGTGGTTACTTCTTTTTATATATCTGTTACTTATTCAGTTGTTCTTTCAAACTCAGTGCATGAAGACTTATTTGGATTGATTTTTGAGTGCTGCTGGGTGGAGACAAATGCTATTTTTTGGTCTCACCCATTAATGCACTAACATTATCATGTTGACCCGTGTGATGTATTTTAATGAATGCCGATCCAAGCTGGAGCCAATAAATACCCAGGACTACTGCAGAGTCATTTGACCTGGGATTGAATGCAGACTGTACCCCTTCCCATTACAAGATGTTAGCAGGTGTTTAAGTTTTTTTGTTTTTTCTTTCTTTTTTTTTTTTTTTTGTACAATGGGAAAGGGGCTAACAAAAGCTTGAATTTTCAGACCTTGAGCTGCAGGTCCTGACTGAGGTGCAGAGGCATTCCTCTAAACTAGCAAGGAATTTGATTACTGAAAAGTCTGGGCATGACACCACTCACAAATGCACCTCAGTTACCACCAACTCTTTAAAGACTGTAATGATGTCATTGTAATTGCTGTAGCTTTTAGCACTGATCTTTGTGAAATGATCTTTTTTTTGCAGTGAGGTTCCTATGCAAAGGGAGGGGCCAATTTTGTGCAAACTGTATGCATATTACCTAATTAGAATATATGCAAATAGCACAGGACAACACTGTATCATACCAAAAACAAACAGGTCAATTTCTAATGACTTTCAAAACAACATGTAGTCCAGTGATCGTCCCCAAGGCAACAAATATTACTGTACATCGGTCAGGACCACTGTAGTCGAAAGAAAACTTCATTGTCATTTGCAGTATTATTTATGGCAGTATGGCTCTGTTCTGGGCAATCTCTGCCCTTCCACGTGCCTATGCGGAAAGCCTAGGTTGGAGAGAGCACACCTCTCCACCCTTCCACGTGCCTATGCAGAAGGCCTAAGGCCAGAGATAGCACACCTCTCTGCTCTTCAACATACCTATGCAGAAAGCCCTAAGGCAAAGAGAGCACACCTTTCTGCCCTTTCAGCCAGCATCAATGCCAAATAGAAATGACATTGGTAAGTCAGACACAGCATAAAAAGGAGGAGCTGGGGTGGAGACGGGTTGCAGTGTGGCTTGCAGAGGAAGCAGCAACAGTCAGCAGGCCAGAGCAGTTTAAACAGGGCACCCTGAATGAGATTTGCCAGTTGGTTGCATAGAAAGGAATGGTGATCTATCAGCTGACTCCTTCCATCAGTCAGCTGATCCGTCAGTTGATTGGGCTGTTTGAGATCAGCTGATGTAGCTGGGATGTGAGCTGAGTTTGACATGGGTCCTGCCTGAACTAAAGCTATGCTCAATTAATGGTCACAGTTTCAAACATGTCCCTAATGTTATTGCTCTCCATTACATCCAGTGTTGGGAAGGTTACTTTTAAAATGTAATAAGTTAGGGATTAACAGTTACCCTGTTAAAAATGTAAATGCAACTATTTTATTTACTTAAAGTAATGTAACTTTGATTAATATCTGTATCTGTAACTTTGTAAATTTGATACCTTTCCAAACAAATGATTTAATCGGGGCAATAAAGCTGAAAAATGTCCAGTTTTTGTGTGATGCAACATATGTCATGTCACATACGTCATGTCACATATATCACTAGTGTAGTATGCTACACATTCTAGCATACTATGCTACATTGTCAAAAGAAGTCAGCATTGACTTCAGGCAACAAACATCAGTCTCCTCGTGAAAGTCCTGTGATTGTTTGAGCCAACCACCACCTCTCCATCCCAGCCTAGAGGGACTTCTTCCATCTTTATTCAAGCTTTTTCAGTTCCCTCCAAGATTTTGCAGGCTGTTTTGGTGGTTTTTTAGGCTCTTTTTCTACCATTATAAGACTTGAAAATATTTTTTTTTTTATTTAAAAAAAAATCAGACATTGCAATTACATAGGATGCACATCATGATATGATGCATTTTCAGAGCCAGTATTGGTGTGAAATTAAACAAATTTTGGAAAATCTTTGCTGGTCCAAACTTTTCCTTGTGATATATGTCAGAGCCAGTCAGGAAGGTTTAGAAGGCGACAGCAAGGTCCAGCTAGAAAGAGGAAAGATTGATTATAAATAACCATGAAGAGTCCACCGGTGAATGTAGGTGCTGCCGAAAAGCACTGAGAGACTGACATTTTTGTTTTGGTCTTTTTATGGGATCTATGGGATTTAATATCAGCCTTATCCTTTAACATCAAAATATATAGTATACTATAAAAGTGGACCCAGAAGTACACCTTATACAATACACACTAAGCCTGTTCTTTGATGTATCGTGGTACTATCTCCTTTAACCGCAGTTCACTTTCTCCAGAGACATTATTATGTTGTCATCATCTGATCTACATGCCTGTGTGTGTGTTCTCGCTAAGTGTGTGCAGCCTCCTACGCTGCTCTCACTTCACCTTCCCAGCCGGGCCCACCGAGCTGTGCTGCAATCTGGAGCTAACACTCTGCCAAATCCATGGAGCAAAAATACCATCTCTCTATCAGAGAACGTTCCTGTCCTCATCAATCTGCAGCGTTTTAGAAGAATTTAGGGAAAAAAAGAAATTATACAAAAATCTTACCATATAACCAAGCCACAGAGTTATTTAATTTATGGCCAGTTAATGAAAGCATTTTATAGTTTGTGTTCTACAGACAGCCTGATCAGTTCCTCATGGGAAACAGGTGTTTGTTGTTGTTTAATGCTAAAGTCAGTAATATGACCTTTTCTAGTTAGATAAAAATATTAAATTACACTAATGTTGCGATAAATCAGGCTGTATGATAACTGAATGTTTTTTTTGTGGACGACACAATTTGTTCAGCCTAAGATATAAAACACAATAAACAAATATTAAGGTTAGCACAACAAACGGAATGGCACGCAAGTCAGTCACTATGACGAGTGCAAATTAATACACCAATGATGGGAAGACCCACCTGCCAGTTCCCAGTGCTGGTCAGCTACAACAGCACTTATGTTCTTATGTATAAGAACAGGACTGTGTGACGGTGTTGCTCTGCAGTTGTAGGGGATCTGAAAAGAAACATATCCAACATATACTAACATCACCCAGATGTTCTGATCATCAGGACAAGGAAAAAATAAATCAGAGGCCAGCTCCTTATCCCTGCTGCTTTCAGGCAGCCTTAGGATGCAAAAGCAGAACAGGATGGTAAATGGACCTGCACATGTATAGCGCTTTTCTCGTCATCTGACCATTCAAAGCACTTTTACACTACGAGTCACATTCACCCATTCACACACACATTCACACACTGGTGGCCAAGGCTACCAGACAAGGTGCCACCTGCTACTCAGTTTTTAACACACTCACACACCGATGGAGCCGGGGATCGAGCCGCTGATCTTTCAATTAGTGAACAACCCGCTCTACTTCTGAGCCACAGCCACCCAAATACGTTGCGTCGTAGATGTTGGGGGTGTATCAAAGCAACACTTACCTTTATGGAAATTTTACACTTTTCTTTGTTTAGGTTATAAGCTGATGGTACATTAAAATATAAGTGAATTCCACCAGATAAAAACTCATAATTGTACCATTCTTATATGGTTCTGAGAAAACTCCAACCACATAGTTGCAGGGAGACGGTGTGATTTTGCGTCAGACTAGCTTACTTGTTGTTAAGCTTATAAGTGGGTTATTGCCTAAATTAGACTGGCTGTATGAGATGTTTTAATGGTAGTTTAATCTCACAACAGTTACAAACAATATTGAGGCTTAGGACAAACACTATCATTACCTCGCTGTCCATGAAGGCAGGTCACAGGGAGACGTGGTTTCTGCTCTTGCGGTCTGGCAGAATTTAAATTCAAATGCGGTTGTCAGGTGTTACAACATGCTTTTAATGGAGATTTGATGCCATGGGCCACATTTAAAAAAATAAAGTAGAAGAAGAAATAGAAAAAGAAATTTCTCGCAAAAAAGGGCTCTTAGTCAGAGGGCAAAAGGGCAGGTGCTCGAGCACCACCTGGGGTCTGTCTGTGCACGTGCCTGGTCTGTACACACCTTAAAGCTGATGCTATGGGCTAGATGTTTGTTTTATCCCCCTCTCTTGCTCTATCTTCCCTGACTTTATCTTTTTTATTGTCTCTAAAACAGCATGTAGAACATCAGGGGATTATAAACTATTTACAATAATAAAAATCTTTTAGGATTAGCAGGTCACAGAAAGTCTGGCTGTGATATTTGTGGGAAGGTTTTTAGGCCCATTGTGTGAAACACACATACCTTATTATTTACAGCATAAACTGAACATCCTGTGGGCTAAATACTGAAGATCTGGAGGTGTACTGCTGTGTATGCTTCTGCAGAATACTTTTAAATAATAAGTTAGCTGGAGCTCTGTGTGTATGCTGTCATAGA